AAGAAAGTGAAGCAAAGCCACTTTCAGTGTTTGACAGTCACCAAAAATGTGCGACCTAAGTTTAGGGCACAACGTAGAAAGGCTCACATCTGACCATGTCCCATCACTGAAAATATTTTAGCTTCTTCACTACAAAGTGTGGAAAGTGAAAAAAATCTAGAATTTAGACCTGATGAAGGACTGATTGCAATTTCTGCAGACCTGGGTGATAATCTTTGCCTCCAGTTATCTTTGAACTTTGAAAGTATTTATTCTTGGATCCTGAATTTCAAAACTGAATTGCTTTCCACCTCAATAATCTGGTTCAGACTCTGACTGCTCTGAGAGATCTGCTTAGACTGATTTTTCAATAAGGGACAGTATGATCAGGCACTGATGCCTCAAATCAGTAAAACATAATATCTTGTGGTATAGTTTACATTATCTGGATATGAATTACTGCTAAGTTGTCAGACAAGCACGAACCATGTTTAATGGCTTCTTTTTTTTTTTTTATCGGTCTTTTATAATTTAGACATTAAATTTCTTTTTTAGTACATTTTTTTCAGTGTTTGATAAATGCACCTTGATTATACTTAACTGGGGTTTCTTAATTCCTACTGTAAAAAAACCTAGGCAACATGCTATCTTAGATTCAAAAGATGTAAGTGTGCACAAATGCACAGTGGTACATGTATTGAGATATGTAGGTTAGACTGAACTACTAAAAACTTAATAAAATTACTTATTTTTTTCAGTTTGTAGGCTGAAACCATGGACTGCTTGGACAGAATGTTCTACACTCTGTGGAGGTGGAATTCAGGAACGCTACATGATGGTAAAGAAGAGGTCCAAAAGTACTCAGTTTACTAGTTGCAAAGACAAAAAGGAGCTAAGAGCGTGTAATGTTCATCCTTGTTAACAAAACACAAGGCTTCCAAGTGATGCACTCTGAGCTAAATGGAAAGTCAACCTTGGTTTGGTTTTTAAAACAAAAAAAAAATATAAAGTGTATATTAGTTTTCATTTTTGCAGTGTGGTTCGCTTTTTAGTCTTGCTGGTGCAAGAAATATATTTTATAAATATTTCCTCACAGATTTATGCTGAGAGTAAATCTTTGGTACTCCAGCCAGCCCTTAATGCATAAAAGTAGTAAGTCATTATGAGTCATTTAACTAAAATACAGACATATCTGTGGACATGGAATAGCCATATAGAAATACTACTTGTAAAGACATGGGATGCATGCATGTTAACATAACTAAGTTAAAGTTTCATATGTGGGAGGGTTTGTCTCTCGATTTGATTTTGAAAATCCAAAGCAGTGCCTATGTGATTACACAACTATGCCAAGGAGTAATTTCAGTAATGCTGGTTCAATAATATTAAAGGTGCATGTTTGACTTTTTTTTACATTATTGGATTAAGCTGACAGTTATAATAATTATCCTATATACTTTTCTTCACATGGATGCTCGGCTCATGCAACATGGTCTTTGTTTCTTTAAAACTTAAAAAGGAAACAATTTGTCCAGCTCAATAGTGACATCTGCCCACTCCATAGTCACATGCAAAACAGCACACAAAGAAACTGTGTGAATGTCGTAATATATTTAGATGCCCTGTTCTCATATTTGGTCTTTCTGCTGCCTCTCAAAATGGATACAGAACAAATAGAAATTAGTCCAAAGACAGAGAGTTGCAACAGCTGTGTCACGGAAAGACTTCCACATGAGAGATGCTAAAAAATTAGATCCAATTTCATGAGGTTGTTAATTATAGGGGAAGAGAGAAAGAGAGAGGTTTATAATATAATAAAAATGGTAGAGAAAATGTGAGCAAGGTTCTCATGCATCCCTTACAACAAACACATGGAAGAGAACCTCTGAAATGAAACTCTGACAGCCTCTTCAAATATTAATTACAGATTGACACAAGAATATATTTACAGGAGTGTCATTTATGGTTGTTTTTTTTACTCAGAGTATAGGAAGATCTAAAAATTTCTAAATTTGTGAGAATTACTCATTTGTTGATATACTAGCTGGGCTAAATGTTTTCCCTGACCACTTGAGTGATCAACAAATGGCCTGAGATTAGAAAAAAAAATAGCTCCTCACCATTCTAATTGCTTTTGCTATTTTACACCGTCTCCTGCAGAGTTTAGCTCTCATCCCTATGCATAACCAGGTGTAGGACCAGCAAGACCTTGGGCTTCACTTGCTATTGGAATATAATACTGCCCTGTAAATTTAACATAATACGTTAAAGATGAGAGGTGAAAGGGATGGGCTATCTTTTGGGCCAGGAAAGGCAGCATACACCTATGTCTCTACATAAGTAATAACAATGCACTGAAAATAAAGACTGTTGATGCTGACTCTTAAAACAAGCTTGAGAGAAATGAATGGACAAAAAAATTATTTTATAGTCTCTTTAAACCAGCCTTAAGTAATTTCCTCATTTACTTAACACTTGGTCACCATCCTGAGAACCTGACACCCAGGTTTTACGTGTCCGCACTTGATGTGAACCACAACCCAGTGAGGCTGTTCAACTCCCCCCTCGCTACCCTGGGAACCCTCTCATTACCTCCCTGTACCTGACCGGGCGAGACAGGCTGGTTGCCTTACACTGTAGGGCTTTTCATCATCATTTTCTCCACTGAACACTGCAAGGGCTGCTCAGGACTTCCACAGCTGTCGCATCCCATCCCTTCCAGGTGTTTTATTGCTTTTTTTTAAGGTCTGGAATGAAGGGAGGGCCAAGGAAATAACAGAACCAACCACAGTGTTAAGCCTCTCCTGCCACTGCTGAATGAAATGGGTGCAAGCCCATAGTGAACCAAACCAGGAGAAAAAAAAAACAATACTACAACGTTTAACACTAAAACCAAACATTTTACATTTTCTACAGCTTGGCTCATTTAATAATATTAATTCAGCTAGTTTGCCTCCTTGTGCCTGTTGAAAAATTCTGCAGTTTATGTCTCTATAGCACTGGCATTACAGTGTAGCAGCAAGACTGTCCCTAAGAAGTAACCTATTTGTGACCTTACCTTGCACATTACCCTTTTATGACCAAAAAAAACCCCCAACAAACCACCCAAGAAAAAACAGTGGACTGGTATAGATACCGGAGGTGTGACCAGCTGAGCATATGTCGGGTGAAGACATGGATGGCCGCAGAGAATGGCTGCAGCGGATTAATGCTGGGCGCTCAGCCAGGGTGGAGCTACATACGCAGTCAAGACCCACAGCCCCCCCCACCTTTGTGAGCCACTCTCGCTGAGCCTGGCAGAGGCCATCCCAGATGAGGCTAACCAGCCAAAAAATAACCTTTGACTATGAAATGTGTGGCAGAGTCATTTTTGTAGGCTTGGATCTGTGAGAGCTTGGGGCAGAGGGAGCAGAAGAAGAAAGTTTCTCCTGAATGGAAAAAAAATTGCTATGAGTTTATGGACTGTATTTTAACTCATCAACCCTTACACTTCTTCAATCTAATCTTGCAAAACCATGCTTGTTTCTGCAAATAATTAAAACCAATGTTATTTGAATTTTCATGTTTGTTCCAATTCATCAAGCTGTTTTGGCTTTTAATTACTGCCTTTGCCAAAGGGTACATAGTCTAAATACACCTTTAGGTATGTAGGAAATACACATCATCTTTCTGAATGTGCCCACAAAATTGTCCATTAAAAAAATCTGGCATCCCTTTCACTGGGGTTCTGACTAATTTGACTCTCCGTATACTTTATTTTCTCTTTAGAAGGCTGTTCAGTGCAATTTCCAGTCATTTCTCTTAGGCTCATTAAAGTTATTAATGTTGGACTTTTTCCCCCCTCCCACCGTGTTAATAAACACATGCGATGCCAACATAGATTGCACTGGGTCAGAAATGTGTGATCATTCCTGCTTCAGCTTTTCACACTGTTTTTCTGTTGAAACATTTTACAAGTCACTTTGTCTTTCTTCTAACTTGATACAAAAGAAATATTTAAGCTTGTTACATTTTGTAAAAAAAAGAACACAAACAAAAACAAATGAAGAAAAAATGAGGTTGATTTTCTATTCAGAAAATAAAAAGCTCTGATATACAATATGTAGAAGTATTGCGTTGTTACTGTAAACTTTATAGTAGTGTAATAGCCACTGATTACCAGTCAATAAAAATGAGAACTGTTATCTCTCGTATCTCCAGAATAATACTGCTGAACTGAAAGCACAGATATCACCCCAGTTTTGTAGACCTCAGCTATCAGATTTTAGCATTGTGTGTATGGTTTTGTTTTTTTTTTTTTTTTCTAACATACAGACTGTAGAAGCTTTACAGATAATAAAAAAGAAAAGTTAGGGGCTTAACAAATGTACAGTAGGACTCTGTGCGTGCAGCATACAATTTAAACACAGTTTTGTTCGATTGCATTTTTAGATTTCCTTTGTCGTTTTTGTTTGCTGTGGAATTATGAAAAAGCTACCATGAATATTTCTTACCAAAGTCTTGTGTAGATGTTTTGAAGCTGTCTGGCTAACACATTATTATTATTATTATTTTGGAATAAAGACATCTTTACTATGAAATTTAAACTTGTATGAGATTCTGTTCAACTCTTATGTACATCAAAAAAACCCCCACACACTTGCCAATACGAGGGGTCAAGTCATGCTCTCATTTTCATTTTACTCGCAATCAAGCTAGTGGGCTATCTGGCGTGAGCTGGCTTTTACTAGAGCCACTCATTCTTTCCACTTGGAAGTTATTTGCATTAAGGTTTTTGTCAAATGGTTTGCTGTTCTTTAGAAATCACAGGGTAACTTAAGGTCGTTACTCAAATGACCCTGTATTACTCTCACGCTGGTTTTGTTGCTGTTGTTGTTGGATTTTAATAAAAGAGAAACTATTTAAAAGAACACATTTTCAAGCCTGGTGATACATGAATGGTAAAATTATTAAAAATGGGCTTTCAAATGTCTGAGATTTTTGTGAAACTTTCAACTGCTACTTTTTACTGCCAGCAGACTCTTTAGGTAAGCCGCCAGTGCGAGTGCATCACCGATAATTACACAGCCAAGGACAGCAGCTGGGGGAGACGCTCAGCAAAGCTGCTGTAGACACGTGCCTCCAAGTAACACCTTGCAGCCAGCTAGAAGTGACCAGCATGGTCATGAAAAAAAAAAAAAAAAACCAAACCCAAACCCTTCTATTCTAAAACTAAAGCGTAACAAGGTTGAGGTGGATCTAGAGGTGGTTGCCTGACGATGACAAACTAGGAGCTGCTTACCTGTAATTGAAGGCAGAGTCTGGTCCAATACAACTCCATTGGCATTTAGGGAAAAAAAAAAAAAAAAATGCTCGGTATTTCCAAGCAGCTGTTTCGAGGCAGGTTTGTCAGCGTGTCCAGCAGCAGGATCAGGCACCCCAGCAGCACTGCTCACCCACAGAGCAACTCTGCTCCAGCAGCACTGAGCTGCTTGGAAAGGGCCATTGCCTCCTGCCAAGCCCCTTCTCCAGATGCTCTACCGTAACAGCATTCCATTTTTGTAGCTGCTTTTAGAAACACAAAGACAGATTAACTCACCTTTCTGTAATCCCTGCTGTAGCGCATTGGCAAATGGTGGAGTTTCAGCAAAAATTGCTAAGCCTTTTGACTTCAAATAAGCCAAACAGCACTGACCCTGCCTGGCGTAGTAGGACACCTTCACATCATGTATAACCAATGGGCAGAGACAAACTTTCCTGAAGGACAGTTTACCAAGTAAAGCAACTAACTCCTTCTCCACTGACAATGTGAAGCTAAGTGAATTTATGGCGCAATTTAAGGTTCTGGCAAATTGACTGGAGAGACATCTGGAACAGCAATCACAATAGAGCTTATGGCCCATAAAGCTCTACCATACCAGCTTTTCCTTGGAAGGGGGGGTC